GAGATCTCTGGAGAACTATGCTGTCAAGGTAGAAGTTCATTTTAAAAACCTATTTTGCAGATCCTTTTTGCTGTATCTTCTCACTTCAGCCAGTCAGACATCTACTCAGTTATCCATCTGTCTCTCTTTTATGGTCTTTTCAAGCCTAGGAACTTCCAGTGTTGTTACCCCATAATTCCTATTCTTTCCATCTAGAAAAAAAGGCATTCTATTCTGCTAATCTCCAGCAAATCAACAATATTCTCAGGTTATGAAAAAGCCAGAATTCATTCAATCATGTCATCTACAGTGTGCTTGTTAAAACTCAGCAAGCCATTCCTTGCTGTTCTACACAGATCCCTAACTTTATCTACCTCACTCACATTTTCATCTAAAGTGGTGATAGCTGAATAACTCTTAGCAGGCCATTTCCTGTTCAAATAATACAATTCACTGAGGTGTTATTTGCAGTTATATTTGCACATGTGAAGAAAAACATGATCTTTTATCTATGAAAGAATGATTTTGATTTGATTTTCTCATACCTAGCAAATGAATCAGTGGCTAGTACTTGTGCTACAGAAGACTTCTATAGCATTTATAGAAAGCAATATTTTATTCTGTCACTACAGTCATATCCACACATGTACTCATCTACATACACCTACAATCCTTTTCTGCAGGCTGGTACAAGTCTTATTTGTGGTTAGGAATATTTCAGAGATAAATTCCTGGTTAAGCAATACCCAAGGCTTTAATCATTGTAATTGTAGTGTGTTTACAGACATGTGCTAGGAATTTATATTGCGAATTGCGCAGCTGCTAATATGGCTTGAGGTGATACATTCCATCTGCAGAAAATGTAGCATATCATTGTGGAGGTGTACATTGATAAACTGAAATTATGCTTGTGTACAACTTCATAATTTTAAAACAGCAATCCTCAACATTGGCTCAAACTATTGAGTTCGAAGACCTCTGAACCTGGAAATCAGTATGAAGGTAATGCAATAAGTCCACTACAATTATTTTAGAACTTTCTGCTCTTTAACGTACAGCTGTAAATAAATAGATTTATCTATAGAACCATAACTTATTTTTATCTTACAGATATGTTTTATTTATCAAGATCAACTAACAGAACTCATGACATTAAAAATTCAATCAATATCAAATACACAAGATAGATTATAGACTCCTCTTTGTTGGTGATGTTTGAGGCTGATGGTTTGTCAGGCATGCTGCAATTATGGATTTTATTTATTTATTAAATTTGTAGGCCACCCTTTTCACCAAGGGGTGACTCTAGGAGGCATACAACTATGTAAAAATAAGATGAAAGATTAAAATATCAAAACAATAAATATTAACACTAAAAATCATAAAAGATGGGAAGGAAGGGAGCAAAATTACACACACAAGATTATCTCAGTCCAGAATTCCTTGCTTGACAAGGTTTAGACTAGATGAGAGTTCTCAGGGTCACTATTGGTCCTCAAAGGTCCATTGTTGTTGTTGTTATTCATAGTACCATTAAAGTAGTATTTATTAAATTATTTTAATATAGGTGTCTTGGGGTGTGTGTGTGTTGATGAATAATCTGAAACTTTATGAAGGGGTTGATGAGGTGAAGGGTTTGGGGATCCTTGATTAGATGATCTACAAGGTACTTTCTGTCCCTTTCATTCTAACTTTGGGTGACTAATTGTATTTGAGAGCCGAAACAAAATAAATACTGTTGTTACATTACAGGGACCAAGACTACAGAGCGACTATCCAATGTCGCATTAGGAATCAACAACCTGACTGTGCAATTATCCATGTTCAGGAGTTTCAAACACATTTTGGGGTTTTTAAAGGTTTCCACTGAACACGGGCAGGGAATCTTGTGGCTGTTTTGGGGCTTTACCATTAAATGATACCATGTGATTTGGGGGCCTGCAAAAGCATGCAAAATAAGGCCTCAGGCCTTGTCTAGATGGATGTCTTCCTGATCAAAGGTCTTGTATTACTTCCTCTTGTGAATGATGATTCTTCTAACTGATAAGAGTCTCACGTACAGTAGGAATGGCTCTTTGCACTGCGAGTCCTATCCTGCCTCCCCTTCATCCTGAGATATGTGTAGACACATCTTGCTGTGCTTTTTAAAACATGTAATTGATGTTCCTCTCGAGTGGGTGAAAACAATAAGCAGTAATGGACAACTATGCAGAAATACCTCAGAATAAAACGAGTGATTTGCTTTGGGTAAAATAAGCTCCAAATACTTTTTTCATTGATTGTTACATTCGTATGAACAAAAGTTATTGGGCATTGGTCTTATTCAGCCAAAATCCTATTTTCTTTATATTTGAGAGAATGCAGGATGCAATGGCAATTTCTCTCAAGGCTGCTGATCTGAAACCCTCCCCCCCCTTTTTTTTTTTTAAAAAAATCATAATAAAATGGTTAGAATAATTTCTCAAGCTATCAATGGAGCTGAAGAGCTGAGCTAAACTGTCCTTAAAAATCAAACTACTATCTTGCACAGCCTACATTTTGCTTTCATTTTCCTTTTACTTTCAATGGATTTTAGAATTGTAACTCAAATATACAAACTTTAGGATCTTGAACCGGTAATACACAGCAACTGTCCTTTCCTCAACCTGGTTAACTTTCAGATGTGAGGATCTGGTTACATTGTCTTAGAATTCCAGGAGAGAATTCCATAGATAAAAGGCTTAAAAGAAGCAGAGAGGCTGTGTTCCATATGCCCATGGTATGGAAGTGCTCTAGCCACCAACTATAATTTGCATGACAAGGTACTTGTACTGAAATGTTAAAAATTCAAGAGCCCTCTTCTCTTCTGCATCTGGCTGTTCAATGTGGGAAGATGCCCGGTTGAAGCAAAATTCAATCACAGTTCGATTAGAAGTAGATGGGCACCTTGATCAAGCAGGCAATAACTTATATCTTGGACCTGCTATAAAAACATAGTAATGGAAAAAATAAGTGACTCAGTGTTATATGAAAAATGTTCAATATATTACGATTGTTGAACAAAATCTATTTTCTCATAAACTAGAAGGCAGATCTTCCAAAGAGAGAGAAGCAATACGTCTTCATATCTCATTGGGGCTGCTGTTTTGTAGCAGTGAAGGCTGCGTCTGAAAGTGATGTGGTTGATAAGCTTGGAATGGGTGAACATGATGCATGGTGAAAGCCATCACTATGAATATGAAGGGATTAATTTCTGATTTACTTAAAGATTTTTTGTGTGTGTGTGTGTCTTCAAGTCAGTGCTGACTCCTGCCAACTACCTGGACAAGTTTCTGCAGTTTTCTTGGCAAGGTTTTTCAGAAATGATTTGCCATTGCCTCCTTCCTAGGGTTGAGAGAGAGTGACTGGCTCAAGATCATCCAGCCAACTTTCGTGCCTAATATGGGACTAAAACTCAGATTTTAGCCTGGTGCCTTAACCGCTACAACACACTGGTTCTCATACTTAGGGAAATATAAGGGAATATTTATGAAAGTAATGAAGAAGCTGACTATCCTTATTACTAATAACCTTATTAGTTCATTGAAAAGCTCACAAGTATCCCCATACTAAATGGACCACGTTCATCAAATCATCCAGTTATGCTTCAGTTACTGTTGGAAACAGTGTTCCATGAGAATTTGGACATAAAGTGGAACATTCCCAAGACAGACCATCTGGACATCAGTTACAACATGTGCCGGAAGCACATCAGGGCAGAATAGATGAAGACCACTCACCAAGGCTCTTGCAGATGTCCCCGACAACCCTGAATACTACGGAGGAGAAGCTGACATTCAGTCTCACAGTTTTCATACTTGGTAAGCGAAGGCGAAGAATTTTGTGCTGAGGGGTAAACAAGAGTATGGCATCTGCTTGCACTCCATATTTGTCTAGGGTCCAATGAGTTTTCAGAAGCCAGTATTTCTTTTGTTCCCACCAAAGCGCATAGTCTGACCAATCTTGTGATACCCCTAAAAAAAAAAAAAACGTAAAAAAAGGAAAAATAAAGCAAAGCAGGAATTTTGAAAAGGATACCGCAAATGCTTCTTCTGAAAAATACCACAGAGCTGAGGACCTGGTTATACACGATATGCAGTGGTGGGATTCAGCCGGTTCGCACTACTTTGTCAGAACCGGTAGCTAATTTTTTGTTGCCCAGGCCTAGAATGGACTTCCGGAAGCGGCATCCACACAGAGAATTGGTTGTTCACATATTTGAATCCCACCACTGACAATATGTATTCCGTTAGAACCATTTGTAAGCTATCTAGCCTTAAAAAAAGGCAGAGAAAGCAACAGGCCCTCACCAGGTTAGAAGTGATTTTCTGTATCTAATGTTTCCAACTTACCTCATGGGTGGTTATTGGGAAAAGTGGGAGAAGGACCTACTTATGCCTACCTTGGAAGTTTTACACAAAGGTGAGATACAAATCTAACAAATACTAGCCCTCAGCCTATCTATAATTTACTGACTTTGTCTGATGGATTAGGTGGCTTTGGGTATCTTCTATATCTTAACCAGTACAGTGGTGATGGATATACTATTCAAAGACTGGAAGATTGGGAATTGGGGTCAGAGCATCCTGGAGAAAATGTGGTTGTGAACAGTCAGCACTGGCTTGATGACACATAATCATCCTGGGCTTAACATTTGCCCTTTTTTTCTTGTGTTTTACTATAAATAGAAACAACTATAAATAGAAATTATGCAACCCATAATTTCTATTCTCACTTTTTATTCTGCCTACTGATGGCATTAAATCAATGCCTGCTATATATAAATACTAAAATCTGACTTAATATGTGATACTGGCTTGTCTTATAAATCAGCCCTTCCTTGTTATGACCTCCGTAACACTCCAAATATATGCTGTCTGGGTTGTTCCCAGTAGATGTTTTTAATATGGTTGTAGACATAACAGCATGAAACAAGTTGCGGTAAATGGGCAGTTGTATAAGTGATGTGTTATGCAGAAACCTGCAGAGCTTTTAGATTTTCTTAGAAGGCTTCCTCACTAGAAGCCCAGTATCAATAGCCCATGATGTCTGTTCAGTAGCTCCCTCCCACCCTGAGGGAGGTGAGTGGTTCAAAAATGTGAAAAGTAAATAATGAATGGAAAAGCAGTTTTTTTTTTTGCTATCTGCTTTCTGGGACATGAGTTCAAAACACCCCAAAATATGTATATTACTTGGGAGGTTCCAATTTCACTTGTATATACAGTATAGAATGAGCTGCTCCTCTATCTATCTATCTATCTATCTATCTATCTATCTATCTATCTATCTATCTATCTATCTATCTATCTATCTATCTATATCCCGGATCCAGCATTTTATACTCTGACAATGTCGGCAGCGTGGCTGACGAAAGCTCAGTACTTTTGCAAGATTAAACAGCTTTATGATTTTATCCTGGTGATCGTTTTTTATCTATTCCATGTTATGTGTATACCCGGGATTCGTGTTTTTAATATTATTAAGGTCTCTCTCTCTCTCTCTCTCTCTCTCTCTCTCTCCCTCTCTCTCTTTCTCTCTCTCCTTTATTCGTTTGGGGTTGCTTCAGGTTGCCTGAATTCTTCTGTCCTTTAAAAACACTATACTCACCAATTTGTTCCACAAGTCTGAGCATCAACCCTCCGACATGAAGCTCCCCTGATACTTGAAGGGCAATCTCTTTTTGTTCTTCTCCATTGTGATGATCAACTGTGACTTTGAGCTCCCAGGAATTGGAACCATATTCATTTAAAGAAATCATAGCCCTGTTGGAAATTCCAACATTTGTTCCAAAATTTAAAAACAAGGGAAATATATATATATATATTTTCTTGTGTCACTGTTCTCTAAGAGCATGGTGAAATACTGAGGTGCCCTCATTGTTATTAACATCTGCTCCTCACCCAATATATTTTTTCTCTTTTAGCTTTGTGCTTTATTTTAGAGTTTTAACATTTTAAAACAACAACAACAACACTAATAATGTTTTCTATATATTGTTTAGCTTTGTTGTACTTGCCCAGAGTCACTGTGTCATTATGTGAGGGGCAGCTATATACATTTGTTAAATGAATGAATAAATGTATGCATGCATGAATGAATAAAATTTGAGTCTGCTTAACCTGGCTAAAGACGCTGGAAGGGAAAACAACAACAGGCTCCTCTGTTCACTTTTGATATGATGAATCAGCTCCTGGAAATCTAATCTGATCTCCTAACAGGCCAGTTCTAGAATGTTTGCTCCCTGAGGTGGACATGTGCACAAGCATGCATAGACACATTGTGGAGACACAACACCCAAGGCTGGTGATATTATTTTGACACCTGAGGCAGAAGATTCCACAAGCATTTCTCCCACTGTCTGGCAATAAAACACACAACAATCTATTAAGTAACTAACAATTTGCGGTCTTTTCAGACATCCTTTAACAACTCCTAAGCATTGTTTTACTCTGCTTGACTGCAGGGGCTAAATTTCATAGGAGGATCATTGTTAAGGAATATTTTTCAGCTTGATAATGGCTCCTGCTTACTTTTTTTTTCCTTGAATGCAGAATAGCAGCCTCTTAACCATGTTGGGATACATTCAAAATAAATGTTTTGTGTCTTTTAAAGACTGAGAATAATATCTTTGTACTTGTAGCACTGTACCAAGTTCCAAACCATCTAGTTTGCAAGCCACAAAAGCAATCACTCATAAATTTGCTGTATTTGTTTTTAACATCTAAGTGATGTGTTGCATCCCCAAGCAAACATTTAGAAGTACTTCTGTATATCACAGTCAATATACAGGTAATCCTTGACTTAAAACTATTTATTTATTTATTTTTAAAATTTATAAACCGCCCCACTCCCGCAGGACTCCGGGCGGCTAACAATAAAAAACACCATATAACATGACAAAAACAAACAATACAATAACAGTCATCCAGGGGTCAGATTTTATAAACCCCAGGCCTGCCGGAAAAGCCAGGTCTTAAGCAGCTTGCGGAAAACCAACAGGGTGGGAGCGGTCCTAATCTCCGGGGGGAGCTGGTTCCAAGACGTGGGCGCTATCACAGAGAAAGCCCTCCCCCGCGGCCCCGCCAAATGGCACTGCTTGGCCAACGGGCCCTGAAGGAGGCCCAGCCTGTGGGATCTAACCAGACGAAGGGAACTATGAGGTAGTAGGTGGTCTCGCAAATAGCCTGGCCCTGAGCCATATAGAGCTTTAAAGGTAATAACCAATATCTTGAATTGGACCCGGAGACCAATAGGCAACCAGTGCAGCTCACGGAGGATAGGTGTAACGTGGGTGTACCGAGGAGCACCCACTATCACTCGCGCGGCTGCATTCTGGACCAACTGTAGTCTCCGAATACTTTTCAAGGGTAGCCCCATGTAGAGCGCATTGCAGTAGTCCAGACGTGAGGTGACAAGGGCATGAGTGACTGTAATTAAACTATTCATTTAATCACTGTTCAAAATGACAAAGGCACTGAAAAATGGCTTATGACTAGTTTTCACACTTATGACTGTTGCAGCATGGGGTTAAAGTCAGATGCTTGGCAACTGGCATTTATTTATGACAGCTGCATTGTCCTAACGTCATATATTTGTAATCTTCCCAGCCAGCTTCTGTCAAGCTGTCAATGGTCGAAGCCAGGTCCACTTAATAACCCCATGATTCACTTAATAACTGCAGTGATTTGCTTAACAACGGTGGCAAAAAGGTCATAAAATGGGCAAAACTCATTTAACAACTGCCTTGCTTAGCAACAGAAAGTTTGGGATTAATTGTGGTTGTAAATTGAGGATTAGCTGTATGTATTTTATTTCTTACTAGTTAAATTCAGCTGAAGCATTAGATCCCAACAGGACACCACCTCCTTCTTGGTTTTATATAACTCTCCCAGCAACTTTTTCTAAAAATGCACGTTCACAATGTTTTTGTGAATTTTATCATATTAACCAGATTAACAAAATTTAGATAGATTGAACAGAACTAATGAAATAGAATGTCAACCTTAATCATCATCATCATTTAAAGAAAGAAAAGAACAAAGAACTATGCCAGAAAGTGTAGTTTTTAATATCCTTGAAGAACAACCTCATTTTAAGAATGTAGGAACCCAATTTTATATTATTGCAAGAACATTTCTACTGTTCTGTGATGCCACAACATTCAAAGATTTAAATTAGTAAAATCTTCTTCCACAATGTCTTATTTTGGAAGATTCTAATAATTTCCTATTTCATTTAGTTCGCCCCTCCCAGAATTATGAGAAAAAACACAAGCTCTAACCCTCATTGTTCATTTTAGCAGCTTGAAGATGTGTGGACTTTAACTCCCAGAATTCCCCAGCCAGGGGAATTTCTGGGATTTGAAGTCCACACATCTTCAAGCTACCAAGATAAAGAAACACGGTTCTAGATACATTGCTGATCCCATCTTCCATCATCCTTTCAAAACAGCCAGGGATCAAAACAATGGCAATTAGAATTCAACACTCTGAAAACTGCTCTCAGTTATTTACCTATGTCCAACACAACCGAAAAGGTTGTGAAAAGGTTATCCTGAACTTCCTTGAAGTGTGGTGAGGGGCAAAAAAAAAAAAAAAAAAAAAGGAAGTAACTCGGGCCCAACGTCTCCAGGCCAGTCTATATTTCAAAGTGTTTTGGAAGTTTTCGTCTGAGCTTTTAAACATCCCTCCCACTTCCTACTCCAAGGTTTTGGATTACAAATATATTTGCTGCAGTGACACCACCGCATCCTCGCTTTCAACAGAGAAACGATGCCCTTTTCCACTGGGGCTCGAAAGAGGCAGATGAGCATTTTAAGGATCCCAACGAATTGTGGCTCCTGACTGGTTAAGCTGCCACAATTTAACTCAATTCCCTTTTAGCCCTCAAGGACCAAGTTCAGACGCCTGCTTCCTGCAAGTACACTGACCCAAGGGGGCTTGGCTAGCTGAGGGGTCGCTTTTGTCCCATTGTTACCCTCCGTGCATTGTCCGAGGGGCGCCAGGTCCCGTTGCTAACAAAGAGCCACCCGAATAAGACGGGACCCAGGCGGTGCGCCTTCTCGGTCCCGGCGCCTGCACTTGGGATAATACCCTCTCTGACATTTTAATCGCCGCCCTCCTTTGAACGGGACTCGGAGACCAGGTGTGTTTCTTCACGTAAAACTACATTAATGTCCAGTAAGATCCGATGCCATTTTAGTTATGACTTGCAACGGTTTGAAAATAATAAGCCTATTAAAACAAGCCAACTCTAGAGTAGCAACGTATTTTCTTGGTTTAGCAAAGTGCTTAAAGCGAGCGCCCGATTCGTGTATGGCGCAGGAGCTTTGGTATTTCCCTTCCCTTCTATCAATTTTAGCGGACCATGACTCAAAATGAATATATATTCAGAAATATGTATTTCTTTGCATTAGCTCGATTATCGAATGGGTTATTTTTTTAAACTTTGTACGCCGTGCTGAGTCGCCATTAACCGGGTGGAACTGGACATTTGTTTTTTAAAAGAATAACCACAGCCTAACCAAACACTCCTGAGTTTGCCCAGGTTGAGAGGCTTCAAAAACAAAGCAACGCACAACACTGACACCGGACAAACATTGCACTTTGCGGGGATTTACCATACCCGGGTTAAGAGTCTTCTATGAATATATCCAATAAGCTAGTACGCCTTCCCCCCATATTCACAAAGCATATGCGTAACGATATCCCATTGGTTACAATCAAGCTCGTAATTCCCCGCCGGACGAAAAAAATCCTCAACTTTCCGGAGATTCCGGAGAAGCCGAGTTAGTCACGGCTGAGATTTCCTACCTGGTCAGTGACGGAAAATGCCCAGAACTCGCGCGCGCCGCTCCCGCCGCCACTCCTGGACGCCGACTAGAGCCTCGCGCAGGTTCGAGCAGTTCCGACGGAGGAGGTGGCTTACCTCAGCCGCTCTCCCAGCCCCGCCTTCCAAAGCGGTGGGGCCGCGAACAGCAGCAGGTGTCCCGGTTAGTTGTTGCTGCCTCTTCCTCCTCCTCCGTCGGTTGAGAGATCCCCGCGAGCGGGGTGGGGTGGGGTATTTGAGCATGGCTAGGATCAGATGGCTTATTTAGTCTGGCACCAGGCAGCGAGGCAGGTAGTACATGTGGGAGCTGCAGCTCAGACGCCTTTTTAGCCTTCTGCGGCAATGAGAGCTGCAGCCTTCGAAGATTGCAGGTCCGCCCTCTGAATATTTTAAATACAGGTAGTCCCAACATTTCTGTGGCTAAGCGAAACCTTTGTTAACTGAGAATCGCTGCTCGTTGGTAAGTTAGTGACACAGTTGTTAGGCGCAACTGGTTTCCCCATTGTCAGAAGGTCACAAAAAAAGGTCACATGACCCTTGGGCGCTGCAACTATCATAAATATGAGTCAGTTGCCAAGTGGCTGAATTTTGATCACGTGATCATGGGGATGCTGCTGTGATGGTGTGAAAAACGGTCATGTCCCTTTTTCCAGTGATGTAACTTTGGTCACTAAATTAAACATTATAAGTCAAGGACTACCTTTACAGGGAAATCTGCCATCAGTTGCTCATCTGGTTTTTTACGCAGTCCAGACCAGTTTTATTTTGGATGAATTGAAAAGAATAAAACTTCTTCTGAACTTTTTAGCTGGCTACAAGCCCCAAACTTTCTGAAAGTGGTGGGATTGTAATCGGGCATTTTGAAACCAGTAGAAACTAATAATGAATTACAGCCTCTCTAGAATCTTTTGGTTAGGCCAGTGGTCTCCAAACTTTGTGACTTGCAACCTGGCTGGGGGTGGAGGGAGACTTGTGTGAATGGCAGGCCAGCGTCCATATGTGCGACACACACCAGCCTGCTGCTTGTGCAGGTTGAATTACACGCATGCACAGCCACGTGTGGCCCAATTCCGAATAGGCCACGGCCTGGTAGTGGGTCATGGACCCCGGGTTGGGGATCCCTTGGGTTAGGCTGAAACACAGTTATTTACCCAATCTTGAGCTGCTCCTGTGAATTGTCCTTAACACTGCGGTGGTATATTGAAGAATAATTTCTAAAAAGAGTGGATGTATCAGCCTATTGCAGCAACAGCAACCAAGAGGTGTGTAGAACCTTGCAGGCTAATAAACTATGGTATAATCTTGAAGACACAACAATTCAATGCATGGAGTTTTTGCATTTTTGTAAATTCATGCTTGTAGTGATGGCATCTCACTACTTTGTCTTCTGGGATTAAGCGTTACTGAAGCCTATAGGAAATTTGAGTTTTAGGTTTTTGGAAATCAGATTTATCTTTGATAATTGTGTTTGTGGACAGTGACAGATTGATCCACAAAGCTAAATATGTTCCCTGTTGGTTTACAAACAGTGTTATTTTAATGTCAGATGTGAACTACTTTGGTGATGGTTTTATTGCTCCCAGGAATTCTAAATATTTGCACAGTTTTTCCATTGTTTTATGCTGACATTTCAATTTCAATTTCGGTTTATTATCGTGGTAGATCAATACAGGCAGAGTGCTCTGTGAATAGATCTATATTTATATCCATATCTTAGTAGATAATGAACAAAATAAAGTTTAAGTCAAAGTTAAAATACATTTATAAAACAAGCTAACATTTATGAGTGAGGCCCAGGATGGAGCCTATATTAAATTATAATGTAGACACTAAAATTATATTAAGTGTAATAATTTCTATCGCTATATAAAAGCGATGATATCTAGAGTTTAAATGAATTATAGGTAAATAAAATGTATTTGGCTCGAGGAAAATTGGCCCATATTACTCTGGCATTCATAAGTTGTGTTATAATGTATTTCAATATCGTGAACTTGTACTGTGGAAGAGATAAGAAAATGACACTGTCAGCAATCTAGGAAGGGCTTATCTGGAAATTACAGAGGAATGGAAATTACTTTTTAAATTCAAAAGCTGCAATCTGGGCAAACACTTCATTAAAAATAAGCTCCTTTAATTATCCTTGCAGTTACTGTTGGATAGATAGATGTGGGTCAACAAAGCAGAAGAATGGAGAACACGTGTAAAATACTGACTGCAAGTTTCCAGAGCCAAATCCAGGAACAACTTTAGGTTAGGCAAGGTATTTATCCTGGACCAACTTGTTCTTAAACAAGTAGCAGGAAAATGTACAGAGAAAAAAGAAAAAAAATATCAACTTACTCAATGGAATATTCATAAAAGCCATACAGATTTGATAAACATTGTGTCATCTTCTTGTACTTAGCAAGCACAACTTTTATTCAATGCCACCAGATTTTCAAATCATGAACTGATTTCCAAGTCTTGTGGATGTAATGAGGTTTACTTGGTCTGGCTTCTTGTATTGCCATTCAAAGGCAATTCTGCTATTGTGCTATTTTTCTCTTCAACATAATTTTTAGAAAGATGAAAGAGATGGCTGGCTAACATCGGGTTCCAATGGAATTAATAGAAAACTTTCAAAATTCTGTGCATTTTGCTTGAAAATGTGGTTTATCCCATTGATCCATCCTATGCATGTGAGTCAAAACTCAGCTTGTGGTAACCAAATTAAATGTCTTCCAGGATTTTTGTTTGTGACTTTTTAGTCTAACCCACAGCCATAGAATTCTCCAGTGATCTTCCATCTAAGTACTAATCAGGTTTAAATCTGCTCAGTATCTGAGACTTGTAAGAATAAATCCCATTCAATCCAATGTGATTTTCAATGACAATATTCCTTTTGACAGGATTTATTTGTAGATACAGTATATAAATAGACTTGGCTGCAGTTCTTTATGTGTTTAATCAAGAATTATTTTCTATGAATTTGGCAAAATGGTTAGGGAAATGTTTGTAAGGATAGGTAGTGCACAGTATATAAACAACAAACTTTATTTTTTTATATTTGACATTATCGGGAGGCTGCATTACTACCTGTCCAGGGCTCCATGTAGCCCATGAGTTGTGGGTTGGATATGTCTGACCTAGACAATATCTCCTTTGCTGGTCCAGGGCATCATAGAAAAGTCCCTGGGGAAAGCTACCGTTATCTTCCCCAAGAGGCTGTTTTCCCCTCATCTCCTATAGTGTATGAATTTGGAGATAATTGCTTAAAAAAGAAAAAGGGGAACGGGGAAATAAAAGAGAAAGGAGTAAGAAGAAAGTTTACTTATCAGAATCGAAACTGGAGGCCCAGGAAAATGTATTCAAGGCGTTAATGGGTGATAAGCTAGAATATTCCCACCATTTCATTTCTATACACTTGCATGGCTGCATAGCTACCTCTTGTGTTCCAGTAACGTAATTTCTCAGATAGCATTACCATGTATCAGGTAGAATAGTTGTATAGCTACCCTTTGTGTTTCAGGATCATTACTGTTACGTGTTAAGTTATATGTTTCTTAACTTTCTTAACTTTGCAGGAAGATTCCCTAACACCTTCCTTTCTATTTTCCTGGATCTGGGATGAAGGAAGAAATATAGGGTGGAATTCCCCAGTTAATTAAACAGGTTGGTTTCAGAGGGTGCACAGCCTGACTGATGTCTATGGAGATTCTCAGTCATGTTGATCCCAAAAGTGCTTTTCAAAAGGCAACTGGACTTTCTTGGTTTTTTTCCCCTTGAAGACGTTTCGCTTCTCATTCAAGAAGCTTCTTCAGTTCTAACTTAGAACTCAGTTCAGTTAGAACTGAGGAAGCTTCTTGGATGAGAAGTGAAACGTCTTCAAGGAAAACAACAAAGAAAGTCTAGTTGTCTTTTGAAAAGCAACCTGACTGATGGCAGTCTGTGACAATTCTCTTTTATGGGGGAACCCTGGGAAGAAGGGCTCTGACAGAAAGCCTTCTTATACTTCTCCTGACCTGGATTATAACAACATGGCCAAGTATTAAAAATTTTCTTTGGGCTATTTAAACAGAGCAAAGCAAGGGAAGAACTTCCTGGCATATGTGTTGAAAAACACACTGTGTATAGTCTTCCTCCTCCTGTTCATGTAGGATAAAGCCTATGGTCTGCATTAGTTGTGAAAAGAGCTGAACACAAGGAGGCGTTAGTTGGACTTCACATTATCCTGGTCTGGAAATGTTGGATAGAATTCAATGTCTGTTCCCTTGGAGCCCTACCATAAATATTTATCTCCTATCTTCTGATTTCCCAACCCCCTAAAGGTCATTTCAAAGTTGAGCTGCTAGTGCCGGAGTATTGGTTGCAACTTTCCTGCAGAGGAAAAAAAGTAGGTCTTGAACTCCACTTAGATATAAGCCCACATTAAATGAAAATATTATTATGGTTCGTCGCACAGCCGGCCAGATATTTGGACTGGATTTGGCATTTTTGTCCACTGCTAGCGAGTCCTTCCCAAGGACCTGGGTATAGGCGGAAAAATATTATTTATGATCATATTAATTATGTACATGTAAATAATAATTACTTAACACAATTATAGCAATTATTATTTATTAAATAGGATAGATGCAAAGAATGGGAAGCCTAACTTAATTCCTTATATATAAATGCATTCTTGCATGCAATTTTGATTACAGCCAAAGGACAGTTTTCATATTTAATCCATTTGGATGAGTAGTAAATGTTACACACGAGATCAATTGAAGATTTAATTGGTGCTTTGTATAAGTGGGAATCATTGCCTGATGAACACAGATGGTTAGGAATTGGCAGAAAAAAAAGAAAGAAAAAGAAAGTAATTTTCCACATGCCCAAGCAGTCCCTTGCTTGCATGTGAGAAATAATCTTGGCAATTGCAGTAAAAAAGACAGACTTTTATTTTACTACAGGTCCCGTAATTTCTCCCTACTTCCGCATTGCTCAAGGCCTCTGGGTTTTGGGCCACAGATTCTCCTTCCCTGAGATCCAACTACTTTTGCATTTGTTTTATGCGGGGAAATAAGAGATGAAAAAGATCTTTCTTTTTTTTGTGTCTAAGAACTGCATTCACTCCAGAGGCAGACAATTATTCCTGCTGTCTGCTTTCTGTCTTTTGCTATTCCCTTTCTCTCTAATTCTCTGACTTTC